AAAAAAAAAAAAAAAAATGTTGTCTTGGATACTCCTATTTGGATTCAAGAATCGCTTAGTGAACGGATAGGTAAACAATCTTTGCTGCTTTGTTTACTAGGTGGCTGAGGATGATCTCAGTGTACCAGGTGATTTTCATGAAGTTGAGTTTCTCCTGCCTTTGTTGCAAGATAAGTATATTGAAGGTCAGAATTAAAACTTCTAAGTTCAATTTATCAATTACTAAATAAATTGTGCTCTGTTTCATGTATCTTAAGTTGTTCTTTTTGTGTGAAGCATGTAACAAGAAAGAGGTTCTTGGTGTTCTTCACTTTAAAGGCTCTGTATGTTCTCTTTCATACTTGAATTCGAAGGAGTCTGTTTCACAAGCTTTGCTTGATATAAAGGTGATACATCTAATGGTACTTCAGATAGAATATGAGCCTCCTTCCTTATATGAGTAGAAAGTTTTGAAAAACCTCCACATGGATATGTGCATTCACTTGCGTTAATAATGTCAAATATCACTGATTTTTCCTAAAATTCTTGCTTTAGCTCTTTGCCATGTTTGTTTTACACTGTAATTACTTGAACACCAGACTATTCATTCATTCTTGGAGGAATCATTTGCTCTCTATAATAATGGTACCTACTGCTTTTTAACATGTAATTTGGCTGATTTAAAGCAGCTCATTATTATAGGCTTGTCGAATTTGTAAGTCTACTGAGTTATTTAAAAAAAAAATTAGCTCATAAATGTAATTATTATATCAGGTGAATTTTCTGATTGACTAATCTGTGCAATAGCATCACCCTGGGTCTCCTTGTGATTTTAGGAAGATATAACTCGGAGTTTGCAAAGTAGACTCGAGATCATGTGTGATGAGGCAGAGAGGTACTTGGAGTCAGTCAATCAAGATGGTCTGGAACCAAACATCCATCCACCAATCGACAAACCTGATCCACGCGTTGATCTTCTTGTGCAAAGGTATCATAAATTATGCATTACTAATGAGGTTTCTGCATAATTATCAACAATTACTTTCATATTTCCATTTCTTTCTGTTTTGGCATTTAAAGCCGACCTGTTAAGCGTGTGTCCATTATTATTTGTATTTTGTCACGTTTTCTGCTCATCTTTGTTTGGAAAGCATCATCTTAGGTTAGAATGGTGTATTTCATACAATATCCTGTTTACAAGAGGTTTTGGTGTGGGTCCGTATGTATCTTTATTTGGTTAACCCATATGCAGGGCTCAGTGCTAGTAAAAGTTAAACTTGTATGAAATGATTCATACTAGTTACTCTACCTTGTGAATAGGCATGCTAGTGGCTAACATTATATCAGTTCTCAAGAATCTTTTGTATTAGTAACCTATATAGAAGAAAGAACCTCTCTGTCAATTCATGGTTATTAATTATTATGTATGAGTCTCCTAGCACCTGTAAGTTTATGTGATAGTTTCTGTCTGGGGTCTGTACTCAGAGGCAACTTTATTGTTCTTTTAACTAACATAAGTTATGAATATCCTCGTGCAGCAAACAGTGCACTTTATCATTCCCTCGAAGAGTGTTTGTTCCATGGCTGGAGGGCACATATATATGCGATTATATTCTGCCATCAGAGACAATGGAGGTTTGGTTCTGCTGTACCGATCACATAAATACTAACTTACTACTGATGCTTGATTTACTGGTTCAGATGATAGTGACTAGTGACTCTACACACACACACACACACACACACACACACCAATAGGAACACGGTATTGTTTGATTTTGCAGAGTATTGTATAGAATATTTCTCCCTTGTGAAATTGGGATAAATGACCATCTTTTCGGAACGGGCGGACATTTTATGTTTTTTTTTTTTTTTCAGGCTGTCCAAGATCATTGTGTTGAGTTGATGTGCACAGAATTTCCAGAAGACTCTTCGGAAATTTTGGAACCTGAATCGGAAGCAACTATTGTGACAGTTTCAGCAAACAAGAAAACCTTTTGGGCTATTGCAACTGACTACTCATCAACAGCTATATCAGATAATTCAGTTTCAAAGAGTAAGGAAATTAGAAGTGATAGCTCTTGGGAGTCGATGGATTTGAAGACAGTGATATCTATTTTGGTTCCGAGCCTTGCTATCATAGTATGGCTAGTCTTTTACATTCTCGGGATAGAATAAGTTAAAAGGAAATATATAGAGAATGTTCAAAACAATATGTCCAGTTTTGGAAACTAATACCCCTTGTGTAAGGATTGATGGTCTGAGTTTGAAGTAGAAAATGGTGAAAGACACACTTGCGTTATATCTGCCAATTTTTCCTGTTCTATTACATACATATCAATTGTTACCTAATTGTATATTAAAATGCGGATAATGCTCCCCTACCCACGGTGGGCACATGTTAATATGTCCACCGCTTATGTGGCATGCAGATATTGGTGATGTTAATATGTTCAAAAAAATACATCACCAATGAGTACATGCCACATAAGCGGTGGGCGTATTAAACATGTGTCCACCGTGGATAGGTGAACATTATTGTTTAAAATGCATCACAACATTTATTATTGTTTGACATAATACCCAACACCTACCATTTCCAAATCACTTCATACACAAAAATTATTTTCTGCTAAATCGATCAGTATTGTGCACGACCTTTTGTAGCCTAAACAGCTTCACCGAGACATACTTTATTTTTGGCCCGATTGAAAGAGGGCTGAAACTACCTTACCAAATCATTTCACCAAGTTCTGGGGACTTTTTTTTCTATTAATCTTCCTCTAGAACCTATAATCGATCATATAAGCAACGATGAAATCATTAATGTTTCGCGTTGGCATAGGAGTCGCTAGGAGCATCGGCCCCACGAGGAGTCTTTCCTGGATAATCAGTTTTCGAAGAACTTGAAGACATCATACTGAAAAATTAAAACGCAGGGTGAGAACGTTTAGAATGAGAAATCAAATCCATTCTACAAGTTCAATTGCCGGTTTGAGCATTGTACCTTCTATCAACTATGACCACTGATCGAAGTTCGCAATTGTTGAAGCTGCAAAACAAACTTGCAAATGTAAATTTACTTCTCTTTCTGGCGGGCGATTCATATTCATGTGTTTCAAATTTTATGGACCCAGAAACTGTGATAACATTGATCATTGTACAATCAGATTATCGAATCACCCAACTCTTAAAAATGTATGATTGATGCAAATACAAATGAATAATCCTCGACTTGAACAAACTTGTTTAACCAAACGAAACAATTCAAATTACAGGACACGAGTACATTACTTTGGAAGCTCAAGCAATTAGTGTTGGAAGAGCTTGTCTGGGCCTCAATGTGGTAAAAATAATCATAGACATAAATTATATTTATCAAATTAAAGAATAAATACACATCAATATGATATAAATATACGTCATCATATGAGTTTTTATATGCAGAGTACTATTAGCTCAATGAACTTACATAATGATATATATTTATCATTATTCAGATATATATCTCTTTAATGTAATGTATACCTCGATAAAAGTACATCTCGCAAGGTAGACTCGGGTCCACGATATAACAGCGATAGATAATAGATACATAGCTTCGAAATGACTGAAAAACTTACTGTCTGCAAATTTCACTTTTTACAAATGGATGACAATCATCTCCAAATGCAGCAAGGGTATGCATTAAGAGTGCACTGTGAGTAACAACTGCTATCTCAGTCTCCTCACGTGTCCACAACCTGCACCATTGTCAGAAAAAAAACACCTATGAGTAAATATTTAGTTCTGATTTTTCGAAAACTTAACAAACTTGATTCAGGTGAATTAACTGGGAAAAAATGTTCACCAATTCAAAAATCTCAGGCCCCTCTGAGCAAGGTCTTTATCTGCCTCCCTGACATCACTTTTCCAGAGAGTATCAGCATCGGTTTCTATCTGAACATCAGAAGCAAAAGGTATAAAGAATAAAGTGAGAAGACAGATAACATAATTTGTTTATCGTATTCGCAAGAACATAACTAAAGAAGGAACATGTACTTGCCAGTGAAAAATCAATGGCGGGAAAAAGCAACTTGTATTCACTTATGCTCCTTCTCTTATCACACCAGTTGAGCCCCTGCATTAGATTTCTCATCAACAACTGAATAACCCTTTAGCTTTTTTTTATTTTAATTAAAACTCGTCATTCAGGTCTTAACCTGGAAATCCCCAAGGCCAATCAACAAGTAAGGAAAAAGGTAAAATTACTGAATTGAAGTTTTGAAAACAAACTAATCTCATGGTTTGTGAAGGTCTTTGCCAGATTCCAAAGATTCAAAACTTTTTAACAGAAGAAAGAGATTTTCACTGTTCACATTAAGATGAATGAAAAGTACAGTCATGAAAAGTTCGAAACAAGGGTATATCGAAGTATTGAACACGAGTGATGCTGAAAACAGAAATCAGAGGCTAAAGGAAGAAATGGATATAGTTTTTAACCAAAAAAAAAAAAAAAATAGCTCTATAGCTCATGTTTCCTTTTTCTCAAGACTTTCCAATATAAGTAATTTCGTAAAACAAAACTTTTTTCCAAAGTACCAGCACTTAAAAGTAGTGAGAGTACAACACAGAGTTGCAACATCACTATAACAGGATCTACACTTATATTACGCCAATTTATCTAATGTTTCAAGAGATATTGAGGAGTAATATGCAACGAGCTAAAATGAGAAACGGTAAACAGATGAAAAAATAAACGCATATGAGAACAATTTTACCGACCAGGAATGCAACATCAACATCACTAGATAAAAAATATGAAGGACAAAAGGCTACAGTATTATTAAATATAGGTGCAAAATGCTGTAATTTTAGCCATTTCATACCAAACGTTCTCGACAAAGTTCCACTGCTATAAACGGTGGGGAGTTTAAACTGGAAATCGCATGACTGTTACAGTCCGCAGCATTTTCTGTCATTAATAGAGGTGCATCAATTCCATCCACATAAGCTTCTCCGCCAAATACCCCGACAGCTGTTTGCATAGTCCTGCAATGTTATTTGTGCTTATAGTAATTGACAGGGAATAATGTATGAATCTCAAGGGTCTGTTAATTGTCCATCTCATACCGATCATACTAGGAAAATACAAAATATTCCTTCTTTAGTTATTATTTCAAGAAACTAGAAAGCAAACTACAGTGTTCGACTCAAATCGACACACCTCCACCCCGCCTTCTCCAGATGACATGTCTTGGTAAAAATTTCATGTTCGAGGTTCCTTTAAGGGTTTTCCGAGAAAGAAATCAATGATTGAGAGATGGTATAATATTTTCATATAAAAGTTCCTCTTCTATTTCGATCTTCTGATTTACTTGGTTATATCATGCAATATAAAAAATAAATAGATAAAAAAAAATAGATACATATTTTAAAAACAGACCATTAATTTTTCCAGTCTGTGCAATAAATAATAATTTTTAAGAAACCAGTTTTGGGAGGGGTAAAAAGGGAAATTAAAAGAATCAGTAAAAGACCACACAAAAATCAGAAGTCCAGCATACCTTAATAAAGGGGAAACAACAACTAATTCAATCCTCTTAGAAAGACCCGATGAATGAACATGTTTGCGCAGATTACCCACCTGTTACACGGTGAAAGTCATTCTTCTTACTTTTCATTCCATAAGATGAGTGTACTTCGTTCAGCAGTTATCAATTGAAAAAATTCCAGGAAAAAGCATAATACACTCTTTGAGATGGCTCCTTAGCTTTAACAATATAACACATGTTTCAGAAAATACTGAGACTTCATCGTTTTTATAAATTACAATTGAAATTTATGCCAGAGATGATAAAAGCAATTGCAATCCAAATTCAAATGCCACAGAACACACAGGAAAATGATATGTACTTGCTGCCAGCCAAGAGGAGTAAGTTGCGCATCGAAATATTCTGGAGACAAGTATGCACTGTGATCTTTCTCTCCAGCTACATTGTGAAATCCCTGAGCATGTCTCACCTAAATACAAACAATATGAAGTGAACCCATATTAGATACCTTGCAAATTCAAGTCCAGAATGGGTGCTGAATTTTACAGGAGCAATACAAAGGAAGAAAATATTAACCAAGTGAATAGTTTTGCAACGGTGCAGGGGGTACAAGCCTTGACTAGATGCAGTATCCATATCTGCAACACTTAGAAGAATAAAAACTTAGGTTAAACAATTGAACATGCATGCAGATGCAAATTTGCATTCTACTGATTTCTTTTTGCCTCTGTTCTTAATTTACTTTACTGGGAGAATAAATATATGAAACAGAAGTAAGGCCAAATTAACTTCCAGGCTTTGTTTCTAGAAAACTGTGTTTTAACTAAGCTTGTTGGCACAAAACGAGCTAAGAAGAGGTCAAACTACTTATAACAGGCAGAGTTTTTGGGACAATGTAGCAAAATCCAGAGACACTTTTGAGAAGTTAAAAAAAAAAGGGGGGGAAGAGTTAAAAAGGAAGATGCCTGTGTATTTAAGAGATGCCATAGACAAGTTCTTAACATGGAAAAAATTTACTGTTTGATTAGACCCTCTGGATTAATGGATGAACAATTTTTATTTTCTCCCACAAATTGGAACAAGCAACTGAGAGCATGACTATTATTAAAAACAGTGAACATATGAGAAGTCAAAGCTGCTAAGCATCACAATAGAACTGCCCATTCAAAGTTCAAAGGTCATTGACAAAGTAACTCCAAGTTGCCAGTTATTTCAAGCAAAAGAGACTGTACAACCACATAGACAAGTAGACAGGAATAAATAGCCATTGACACATTTGATGAAGGAGTGAGACACATTAATGAAGCGGGGACGAAAGATGAAAGAGAAACTAATGCGCGATAGATATCTTCAACTAACTACAGTAAGCATTAGTGGAGGAAATCACTGAGAAAAGCAAAAGGCATGTCCTAATTTGAGATTTGAATTAATGAAAATCCTTGAGCTTAATCCCATGATAGCATTTGCTGATAAGATAAACACTGTAACAGTTAAGTTAACTTAGTAAAGTTCTAGTTCGGAGATATTGAGAATCATCTCCTATTAAACAGGTTAGCCTAAGAAGCCTAGCACCAAGGGGCTGCTAGATTGACGGGAGATGCTAGGTATTATGCTTTTAGCGGTTGTTAAAGAACTGAAAACAGACAAAGCTTTGAGGAAATGATATAAGTCTTCACCAGAATAATCGGAGCCAGAGCCTAAAATGTTAATGGTCTAAAAATTTCTGCTTCGCACATTGCTGAACACAATATACAATGAATCTAATGTCATTGTGCACTACATGTTTTGCTTCATTTGGCCAGTCTTTTAAGTATGCAAGTTGAAAGTATTGGTAAGTAAATATTTCCGGAAGACACGATGAAGTTACACACATGACATTAATACGTTACGCCCATATCTTCACATGATTTACAACGAAACGTCTTATATATACACGTATCAGACGGATCATGCCCGCTGATCCTAACATGGGTCTAAACAAATCCGCTCATTTGTTAAATCTATAACCCCAAAACGCATACAAACTAGGAGCGTCTCGATTATCCGTATTGTGCAAGGGTATAACACAAACTTCACATCAACAATTACACAAACATAACCAAATTCAAAAAAAAAAGCAGAAAAAAAAATGGATTTAAAAAACAGAGAATCAGAACAGAGGAAAGCACCAGAGAGATGATGATGATGATGAAGAGCCCCCCATTTCGATTGGGTAAGAACAACGCAGGAGAAGTTGCTGCCTTTGCCTTGTTATCTATGTAAGTTGAGTGTAAACGAAGAATAATACATCAAAGTTCCAATCTTTTTGGATCCCTAAAACTGAAAAGCGAGCGGAATATCCCATTTCTCGTATGGAATTGAATGAATATACGGTGATTGTAACAGTGTGACCACATGAAGAGTCACGTTCAGACGGCAACGTAAAAGACAGAGAAAAGGCTTCCCAACCTTCTGCGTAAACAAAATGTAAGCTATAGTGCTTGTATGTAATTTCCGAATGTGCTGAGCCTACGTGGCTGCTTTTGGTGCTTCGGAATCCTATTTGGCGAAGAATCATGCTTCGTAATTAAGTTTGGACAAATAATATTAATATATTAATAATTAATAATCTAGGTTCGGGTATTCCATAAATATTATTTAGCTAACTTAGGTATTTTAATATCACTTTTACTAATATAACTCTTTAATTCTTTGTAATTTTACATAATGAGGCACTAAGTGACTAATATATCCCTAAATTTTGATTTGCTTCATTCAATTAACTATTGAATTATAAAAGTATTTTAAAAGTAGATAATTTTTATATTTTTTATTGGTTTTACATATATAATATATCAAATTAATCATCTTTGATGATATTCGATTTGACATCCATATTGTATATATAAAATAAATAAATTATATTTATCTTAATAATAATAAAAAATAATAATATTTATTAAAATTCATTAGAAAAGTAAAATTATTTCTCAATTGATATATTTATATTTAATGTAGTTATATATTGTAAGTTAAAAAATTAGTATAATACAACACAAGTAAATTGCACAAATAAAAAGTATCATAATAAATATATAATAATATATATTCTTATAAAAGGTATTTAAATTTTCAAACTACTTTTTCTCATTAATTTTAAATTTTAAGAAAAAAATTAGCAAGTACCCGTGTAATACACGGGTGTTGAACTAGTTATGTTTGATGTTGCTTTCGTAGTTGAGTCATTCGTAGGAAAATCTCTGTAGATTCGATCGCGGGACAGTGACCCATATTAATTTTACGGGAGCGTGAGTTGGTACGGTTTGGAGATGGACAAATCTCCGGAACCCTACCAAAATTCAGAGATTACTAAATTCGATTTTCGAAATCGTACCAAAAAATCGGGACGGTTCGGTTTGTAGACTTTTATTTTTTGGATCAATTCACTATTCGGGACTATCGGAACGATTCAATTCGGTTTGGTTCGGTTCGAATTTCTAGAGTCCTAATTTTTTTTAATGACTACCTAGTTATATTTTAATTTTTATATGCATTATAAAATCCAACATTCATCAATACTTAATCATATTAAATATTTTAAATAATCTATATACATATATATAATTGTTAGTTTAGCAATAAATTTTACCTAATAAGTAAAATCTAATAAATTTTACCTATGTTGCAATTCATTAAATAAAAGATAATAAATTGAACCTAAATTTTACTTACGTATCATTAATACACCCTATCTCACTAATAATAAAATATTTCATTATATTTTTTTGGGTTAATTAAACCATTATATTCATGTTAATTGAATAATAATTATATTTTTTTTATTGAATCATATCCTAGTTTTTATTGAATTATAAAATAGTTAATATTAAAACTAGTAATTATATTTTACACTAATTGATATATGAAAGTTACATAAAATTATATTTTACATTAAAATCAATTTTATATTTTTTTTATATAATTAAGCGAATGTTTTTTAAATAAATTAATTTTTTTTATGTCATAGTAAAATTTCTTAAAATCACATAAGCAATTGTTATAATAAATTTAATATTTTTCAGCTAATTAATTGACCATGATAACTCAAAATTACAAAACATTATATATTTATTATGTTTTAAGCAATCAATATAGTGATTCGTGTGCAATTAAATCGTATGTACTATTTATTTTAACCAGCGATCAAATTTTAAAATATAATACTATTATCTAATTTATAATATTATATGCATAAATATAACATATAATTCTATATGTTTGAAATATAATACTATTATTTAACTTATTATTTTAATATTATATGCATACAAATAACTTATAGTATTTAATTTTATTTACATCTGTGTAAATGCATAGTCGAATACTAGTACTTTTAAAATAGAAAAATTTGAATTGTAGATCAAGTATTATTAAGACACACATTATCCAAGAGTTCACATTCGATCATTTCAAATGCATGTCCCATAATTCACAAATTACAATACCATACGACATATTTTAAAGTTTGTTGTGAATTTTTCATCAATACGTGTGTAATACCAAAAGGCATTGAACCTTAGCCGTCTTCGAGCAGTGGGTGTCTGTCGTAGTATTATTATTAAACACATAGATATTATGGTAAAAATATCTATCAATTTTATTTTTATTTGAAAATATATCATCTTTAAATAAATATTTCTCTCCAAATTTTGTGAAAGATTTTTTTTTCATAAAGACCAGTTTCAAACATTCCAAATTTGAATATGGTTTATAATTAATGATTTTTATAATAAAATTTGATATGTTGGTTACTAAAATTTGTGATAAGAAAAGTATATTAATTTAATTTCTTTTCAAACTAATGTCTCACATGAATAATGATTTTTTCAATCCTTTAACTATATTAACATTCAATAATGGAGGATTTTTGCAATTCAATTTGACATATAAATGATATTTTGTGAACATAGACCTAATCTATAATGAATTTATTTGCAATTCAACTTTAAATACAAATATGTACAAGGATGAAAAGAAAGCGTAATATGAAATATTATATTTATATAAATTTTATTAATTAAAATCGGTTCTTGTTCGGTTCTAGGTTCGGTGTGGTTTTTTCGATTCGGTTTGGTTCTTGGTTTGGATATTTTATAATTCTCCAGAATCGAGTATCTTTTCGATATGGTTCGGTTCCGATAAAGTCAAAAGATCAATGGATATTTGGTTCGGGGTTAATTTGGTCCGGTTTTCAGGTTCGGTAATCTCCGAGTCCCGTGCTCAGCCCTTCGACAACAACACGATTTACATATACAAGTATATGTGATTCGACTATTAAAGAATGTGAATATAGATGAGTGCGTGTTAATTACACAATTAAATTGTGGTGAGACTTTCCTTAAGGTAAGCGAAATTCACATAAAATGTGATAGAAATATACTAATATCAAAATAATTATTTTGGTGGAGGATTGAATCATGTAGATTTAGTTATAGGAAGATTATATAGATGAAGGATTAAATCATGTATATTTTTTTCTCGTGACGTCTAAAGATTTCTTAAATTTACTAATAGGTTCTCGATTGTTTGTGTTCTTTGATTTGTGTTTGTTTTATGTTTCATGTCCATTATGTGATGTGGGGGAGAGGGGAAGGGAA